TGACAAATTACCTAAAGGAGAACACTAATTGTAAGGACAGAGGCTCACTCAACAGAAAATATAGAGGCAAAAAGTAGCAAAATGGTTATCAAGTGCTGAAAGAAAAGAACTTGGAACCCCAAAATCTGATATCAGATGGAAAGATCTTTCAGGAATTCAAGAGATTTATTTATTAATGCATACAGAACTGGGGTGCAGGCCAGAGGTGCAGGGGTGGTGAAAGGATTCACCACAGAGTGGGGAGCAGAACAGACAGATTGACCAAGTACACTGCTGAGGGGAGCAGCAGGCGAGACAGGAGAGGTCTGCTGCGCCATGTGGGTCACCTACGGGGCTGGGGATCCAAGTGGCACTGAAATGGCTGAGGCTAGCTAACTTGGAGTGCTGTGCCCTAACCTGCTGTGCCACCAGGGAGGGCCCTCAAGACATTTTCATATGAAGGAAATCTAAGAGTATTTGTGGACATCAGAACCATCCTCAAAGAATGACTAAAGGAAGCTCTTTAAACAGAAAGGAAATGATAAAAGAAGGAATCTTTGGGAATATCAGGAAACAAAAGAGAACAAAGGAAATAATAAATATGAGTTAATATTATATAGTTTCTCCTCTTGAGTTTTCTATGTTTGATATTAGGAGCAACAACTATAATACTGTTGTGGTTTTCAATGAGTGTAGAAGAAATAGTTAAGATATTTATATAATAAACAAGGAAACATAAAGGAATTTAAAGGGGAGTTAAGTTTCTATTCTTCACTCAAAGTGGTAAAATGTCAATATCCGTAGATTGTGGTAAGTTATGTATGTATTATGTTAATGCCTAGAGCAAGCACTGAAAAAGCTATACTCATACTTTGCTTAAAGACATTTCAATCAATGACAGACCACATATACAACAGTGGTCCCAAAAGGTTAAACCAAAAAGCCTAGGTGTAGATAGGTTGTACTATCTAGATTTGTGTAATTAATTACACAATTATGAAACCACCTAACAACACATAACCACATATTTAAGCAACAGGCTGATAAGCTCAATTTAATAAATCAAAACAAAATTTTAGAAAAGGTTTAAGTAATCAAAGGAAGGCAAGAGAAAGCACAGAAATAAGGAACAAGGGAAAGACAAAAAAAAAAAAATACAAGACCCTCTCTGGCTCAATGGGTTAGGACACAGCAATGCAAGCTGGCTGCGGCCACTTTAGTGCGAGTTCAATCCCCAGCCCCAGAAGTGATCCACATGGCGCGGCAGACCTCTCCTGACTCACCTACTGCTCCCCTCAGCAGTGTACTTGGCCAATCTGCCTGTTCTGCTCCCCACTCTGTCTTTGATGAATCCTCTCACTGCCCCTGAACCTCTGGCCTGTACCCCAGTTCTGTATGCATAAATAAATAAATCTTATATATATATATATATAGGTAGGTAGACTTAGGTCCTCACATATCAATAACTGCATAACTGCATAAGTATAAATGGTCTAAATATACCAATTAAAAGAGATTGACAGAGTAGGTGAAAGTAATAGTGAATTATATACAGTCCATAAAAAATGTCACTCCAAATGTAAAGCAAAAAATGACAGAACTGAAAAGAGAAATAGACTGGTGGTTCTCAAGGGGAGTCCCCTACTCATCTGCCAAATCAGAAAACCCTGTACATGTGGCCTACCTATCGTTTGTTCTAACAGAACTTCCAAGCATGCTAACTTTGAGACCACTACTCTACAAATCAAAATGGCTTTGAGAAACCCAGTCCCTTGTAGTAGGAGAAATGGAGCTGCACTGTATTTTTTCTGCTTGGCAGAACCTGGACTCTAAAGCCAGATAATTCTAAGTTCAAATCCAGACTCATAAAATCACTTAACCTCCATGAGTTTCAGATTCACAGTAAGATGGAATAGTCACTTTCCTTGCTATAAACTTTCTAGCAATTAACCAGTTAGTTCCTAACTGGTAAGAAATCTAGCCTATGGAAGTCATCAGAGATGTAAATAGATTTGCATCACCATTAGCATTTGTAGACTTAATTACTGTGTGTAATCATTAAAAGCCCACAATATCAAATAAATTTCAATTGTGCTAGAGTACAAATTTAAATGGAACACTATGAACCTCTTATGTGTGCACTGAGTATGCAAGAACAACTATCTACCAAGGACCTCACGCTCAGCTGGCTTCCTTGTTCTCTAGTAGCCTAGAAAAAGCATCATGAGAAGAGATAAAAACTTGGTTTCTTTCATGGGAAATAAATTTTAAGCAGTTAACGTGTCATGCTATGTACACAAACCTAGGACTCAGAATATGATTAAGAAGGATGATGGCCCAAATTTTGAATATTTTAAAAGATTTATTTATTTATGCATATCAGAAATAGGGTACAGGACAGAAGTGCATGGAAGGAAAGGATTTATCAGAGACAGAATGGAGACAGAACAGGCAGATTGACCGAAATACACTGCTGAGGGAAGCAGCAGGCAAGACAGGAGAGGTCTGCCTGACCATGTGGGTCACCTCCCCGGCCTGGCATGGAACTTGTGCTTCAGTGGCTATAGATACCTTCATATTGTTGCACTTTAACCCCTTGTGCCAACAGAGTCCCTCTCCCAAATTTGGAATTTTTAAAGGCATCAGAGATATGCCTTGTAAATGTCAAGTGTCTACTGTACAAAAATATTCATGTGTTTTCTTTTTGTTTTAACCTCTATTAAAATGCAAAACATTTCCAGAATCCCTGAAGTTTCTCTAACATCAAAATAACATTTGTAATATAAAAAAGTAGGAATAACATACTATCCAACTACAGAGGAAATGACCTAGTAACTGATGACACACATATATGGGGACACATATATGACACAGAAATTAGGTTTACATGAATATTTAGTGACCTGGTAAAATATTTACATTGTAATGTTAAATTAGAACAAAAGCCAGTTTATAATATGATATGTATAATACAATGCAATATTGTAAAGAAAATTTCTATATTTTAAATCAAACAGTGGGAATTAATACAACAAAAAATTTAGGAGTAAGTTCTGTTGAAGAGTAGGCTCATAGGTGATTTTTATTTCCTTTTCTATTCTTTTTTGGTATTTCCTACAAAGATCGTCTCTTCTATGTAATCAGAAATAAAATTTACATATTAAAAAAGAAAATATCTAACTTTCAGGCTTAGGTGGAAATTAAATGAGATAACTGATTCAGATCCCTGTCATGGGACCTGGCACACAAGAAGCATACAGGAAGTATTCATTACTGTTACCTATTCCCAGACTCTGCATTTAGGGTCTCTATATCATGAGCAGTTCACTTTCCAGGTATGAACCTACAACTTCCCATAAAAATTGAAAGCAAATGCATGAACTTTCTTTTAAAAGACTCATTCATTCATTCATTCATTCCAAATGTGCTCAACATCTATTACATGTTTAGCATGTAAGGTCCTAGATATAACAAAAATGAAAAGATGACACCTCAGTTCTCAGGTAGCTCTGGCTAATGAGTGATACAGATATTTCTGTAACTGTGATATGATGAAATAATTGGCTTTCAATAAGGATGTATCCAAATAATAATAACCCAAAGGAAAGAGGTCTTTTATAGGAGGTATCCTATGAGTTGCAAAAGAGAAGACATTAAAGGGAGCAGCATGTGAAAAACAAAGAGGCATAAAAGGAATATAAAATTTTCCCAGAATTATGTGTAGCTAAGTCTTGCTGGGACATAAAGAACAGGGAGGAGGAAGGGCAGGAAATGATACTGAACAAGTAGATCATGAAGTATCTTATCTTTCACACAAAAGAGACTGACTTATTCTGTAGGGGAACCACTGACAGAACTTTAAGCAAAGGAGTGACCTGATCAGCACTAGTGAGGGATACTAAGAATCTTGGAAGACATCTTAATTCCCATTTATTTCCAGGGGAAACAAAGAAGCTTCCCACCTAAGTCTATCTGCTTTTAAATGAAGTAACATGAAGCAGTAAATAGTACTGTGCACCTGGTGCACAGTAAATATTAAATAAAGATCAGCTGAATATGAATTTGTATGCACTGCGCAGGATAGTCCCTACTAAAAGCAGAATTCCAGCAGCAATAGCACCTTCAGTTTGGTCTCTGGTACAGACCATACACACCCCATAAACAGCTCCTTTGGGATTAGTGACAATTGAAAACTCTAAATCTAACATGCAAGAGGAGGGGAACGGCACCATACACTGTTTTGTTGTACTGCAGTGTAAAAATCCCTCTAGTGGGTTTCTTTCCATAGCTGGGACTTAAGTTCCAATTTAATAAAGTAATACTATAACTTTTATTCCACACACTAACCTTTCTGGAATCCTAGGTGACAGGCGTTTATGTGCACCCCTGGTTAACCCAGGGAATTCATTAGTGGCTTTCCTCTTGCTACTTTACCCAATATCTCTCTAGCTTAATTCAGTTTAGTCAGATGGCTCAGTAATATTGTAGAAATAAAACATTACTATATTTCTGTCCTCATGCAAAATGCTTCAAATAATCAGCAAGGATATATTAGATATATTTTATAGGTGAAGACAATGAGGCTCAGAGGCAAAGCAACTTGCTCAAGGTCACTCTGATAGTAAGTTGCAAACACAAATCCATGTTTGGTGGACTCAAATATCTCAAAAATGCTCTAGTATCTCGCCCAAACCTTGTGCCTGAGGCAAAACAAAATTGCCAGAATACAAAAATTTCTTTGTGGCTGGAAAGAATCATTTTCTAAATAGGAAAAATTTCAAAAGAAGAATGCAAAGAAAAAATGCACATAGGAAAAGAGAGAGTAGAAAGCAGAAGCCAAGGTTTATTGGGCCCTAGTCTTTTAGGAGAGCTGGAAGAACCCGAGTCTGAGAGGTGGGCTAAAGTTAATGCTCAGAAGAAAATGGGGAAAAGTTTCTGAATGAAACCTAAAACAGATGAGAATAGAGAAAAGTGTGCACCCTGCCACTGCACCAAGTCCAATCTGGCCTTCCCCAGCTTACCTGCCATGAAACCAGTCCTGACACATGTCACACTCGATCATGAAGCGGGTCACATCGTAAGGCAGCCGGCAGAGGCAATACACCGGCACTGAGGCCATCTTCGCCTGGTTTTGGAGTCTTAGGCGACCAGCCAGGTTCGCAGCGTCAAGAAGAGTGGGAGACAGCGGTACAAGTCCTTTCCGGATAATGCTGGACACAAACAACACTTTTAACACAGGGAATCACGTCCTCCCCCACCCCCACCCCGGGTACCAACCCTCGGTGCACAAATGGGGAGTTACCGCTCTGCTCCGGGATGCAACACAGCTGGTGCTGCTGTAGGGGGCAATCAGAGAAAGCCCACTGGCCTTCAGTATGCAACAAATAAAGAACAACGCTCTGGCATGGAGGCGGTTTTATTTTCCTCCCATTCTTTGGCCCCCAGGTCAGTGAGAACTTCTTTCAGGGCTTCAGGGAAATATCTGATGCTTTTTCAGGAAGCTTCTTTAATCCCTTACTGCACCCTTGCCTTGCTCTCCATGGTTTTTATTATGACGCAAACCACAGCCTTCTTAAGAAATGAGGCTAGGGGAACCTCAGAAAAAAGACCCTTTCCTCACCCCTAAAATCGGGGCGGCAGGAGAAAAGATGAAGGATCCCTGGAAGTTGATTACTCGAAAATTACCTCGATGGCTTGAGAAACAAGGCAGACAAGGTGCTTAACTCAAATCACCCACAGTTCTGGGGTCGTGTTCTCAGAGTTTAAACGATCTTTTTCCTCCACTCTTCCAAATCGTTCCACCTCCCACCCTGTTACATGACCAATCAGGAATCTATTCCCCTGTTCTCTCCCCTCCACTAAAATCAATCTCAATTTCAAAACTGATCAGATCGTCCTCTACTTCAAGGGTTCTCCTCGCACCCGTGAAACTAAAAAGAATCTCTTTGAAATCCCTGAAACTGACTAGAATTTTCTCGCGCTCCCGCAAAACTAAGCAACGATTTTTTCCCCCACCTCTCAGAAACTGGCAGGCATCTTTTCGCAGCCCCTCAAACTGATGAGGACGCCCCTGTCCCCCAGAACTGACAGGATTCTCATCACAGATCCTTAAACTGTCAGGAACATCCTCAGAGCCCCGGAAACTTACAAGAATCTCTTCACGCCTCCCAAACTGACAGGAACCTCCCAACGTCCCAACCTGACAAGAATGTCTCCGGTCCCGAGACCTGTACGGGGCCTCTTGTCTGCAAGCTGCAGGGATTCCTCACGTCCGCAGACCTCAGTCTCACCGACGCCCTGGCGGCCGGGCTCGCTCCGGAGCCGCTCGGCGCCTAGCTCCGCAGAGGCACAGCCGGCAGTTCCGGCCCCACCGACTGCGCGCGCCGAATTCTGGGAGCGTCACCGCAAGGCTGCGAGCCACGCTCGCCGCCCCTCAAATCACCCGCTGGGCCGGCGGCCCCGGCCGCTCCGCGGTGCTTCAGGGTAGCTTCTCCAGCCCCGGCCCGGCCCGGCCCGGCTGTAAGGGCCTACCCGAGACCGTGGCTCGGGCCTAGTCCGACGGCCGTCCGGGGAGGGGGCGAGCGGTGGCGTCGCCGAGTCGCAGGAGATAGCCGCGAGCAAAACAACGAGGAATGAGATGACCGACGGCCAAATCACAGCAAAACGGCCCCGAAAGTCGCCGGGATCAGCCCGGGTGGCGGTGGCAGGGTATTCGGAAGAGTCAATAAAGTTTATTCAAAATAACGAGGAAGTTGAGGCGCAGAGGGGAGGAGAAATCTGGGGTAAACAGCTACCATATTGAGAGTGGCGGTGCCGCCGCGGGGAGGCGACCCAACCGCCATCTTATGGGGGCCGAGCGCGCGAGGTAACCGCGGAAGAGGCGGGGAAGGGCGGGCCGGCGGCTCCCGCGTGACGCCATCGGGAGTGGAGCTTCACTTTGGGAAAGAAGGGCGGGACTCAGCCACCTTTGAACCCACTCGTATTTTCAGGGGATCCAATCGACGCTAAGACCTCGAGCCGACAGGCGGGGCAGCCACCATCTTAGGCGAGGCGGTCTCTTGGCTCCATTTTGAGTGGGGCCAGAAGCTTCTCAGAGTTCCACCTCCTCCGGGCGAGCAGGGAGTTAAGCTCCCCTCCTCCAGCCACCACCGCCACACACTCCTCCCCAGTCTTCTCCTCCTATAAACGGAGAAGCACGCCGTGACTGCAAACTGCAAGATTAGTGGGTGGCGGCGGGGGGCGGGGGGGCGTGTCTCAGCTGAGGTTAAGGTGGAGTACTCACAGCGGCTCTCTTTCATTGAGCACCTTCAGCGCGCGGGGCTTTTTCACACATCGTTTGTTCTTCACCCTCAAAGGGAACCTCTGCTAGTATCCCCAGATGAGAACACACTGAATCGGGGAAGACAGATGATGAGCTCCCGGGCCGGGAAGCAGAGCCTTGCATCCTCTGCGACCCCATCTCTCTCCTGGGCAGCTCCTTAAAGCGTCAATCAACTTCCGGCCCTGGCTAAACTCTCCCCTTGCCTACACCATTTCACGTCTCCTCAGATACCATTCGATGACTTCCATGTATATTCATCACTATTTCCTAACCACAATCTGAGTATGGGTTGGGAGGTTAAGGAACTCGGCGGGCATGCTTCAAAATGGCGCTGGTTTTCTCAGACATACTAGAATATTCTGTAGGAATCGTCTTAGCGTTTACTTAAAGGGGCCCACCATTTAAAAAAAAAAATCTCTGTATGCATGCCCATTACCTAAGTGATGGGGCTTTAAGCTCTGGAGATGCAATGATGAAAGGACGGGACTGCAGTGGAAATCGCCAGCCAGGGCAGAAGATAAGCAAGTAATTGGAATACAACCTTAAGTAAATGCAGTTACCTCTTGCAAAGAGCAAAATGAAGCTATTAGTGCTTCTGAAGCTGCTTGCTGATATCAAAGAAAAGTTCAGGGAGGTTTAGAGGATATATGAAAGTTCCTTAAATTGACAAGCAAGAACATTGTAGATAAAAGGATCAATAGATAGGAACCCATGAAAGCACATGGGGAAACATTTGCACAATACAGTTGAATATTAGGTATTATCCTGTAAGCAGTAAGAAACCATGAAGGTTTTGAGCAGTAAAAACTGAATCACAGGTTTAGTGGTACAAAAATTAGAGTTTGTCAGAACATACTTCTGACTACAAAATTAGATCCAAAATAGAGTATTTCTAGAAGCACTTCTTAGAAGCCATGCCTATATCAGGTAATAACAATAAATGGAAGTTATACAAACCAAGTATAAATATTCCACTAAAACCAAACTAAATGTATACCCCAGAACAACTTCCACTTAGCTGGATCTCAGAAATATCTGAGGCTCTGCCAACACCATCTAATGCAAAGGAAAATGTGACCAGGAAAACTCTCAGTGGAAAGGGGGAACAGTTTTAACAAATTGTGGTTTAAATATATTTTCCAACTTTTTATAAAACATATGACCCTGTGATCATATTGCACGTGACAGGCCCTCCAGCTTAAGCTTTCTTCACTCCACAAAGGAAGAAAGGTGTTTGCTTTGATAGGCAGCATGTGCATTAATATTGGGAAGGTGCTCTGGAAAGAGATTAGCATGGGCCCTCCAATAGGATAACAAATTCATTACATGTTCCAGGTTATAAAGGGAAAAAAGGAGGGAGGAGGCCATTCTGTTAGTCATTTAAGAAACAAGATCTGAACTAAGATAGTTGTAACAAGGATGGAAAAGGATCAGACAATGGGATATTTTAGAGGTTGAATGAACATGGTTTGGGGACTAATTGAACATGTAGGTAAATGAGTAAAAGGAGTGTGAATTCATTTTCTTGGTTGGGTGTCAGTGGATGATGGTGCACAGAAGGAAATGGAGGTTGGTGAGGAAAAGGGAGGGGTTCAGTATGTAATATGTTAAGGGATGTGGAGAACATTCATTCGTTCAACAATTCAGGTGCTAAGCATAGAGCAGTAACACACTAAGGTCCCTGTCTTCATGAAACTGACATTCTACTGGAGAATTAGTCAGTAATCAAATAAAATTTCATGCATATATAATTGAGCACCTACTACAGATTAGGTACTATACTAGATACTGGGGAATCAGAGGTAAACAAAACAGACAAGGTCCCTGCCCTCTTATGGTCCATATTCATGCAAGAGAGATAGATAATAAAGTGAGTCAAATAAGAGAATTGCAGATTACTGTGAGCACATGTGAAAAATAAAACAAGTTATGAGATAAAGATTGGGATGAAAGGTATTATATTTTAGGTATGGTAGACAAGGAATGCCTCTGGGAGAAGGTGACGTCTAAGCTGAAACCGGAATAACAGGAGCTGGCCAAGGGCTGGGCCAACGAGTAATTGCAAAAGCTCTAGTGTGGTGGTCGGGCCAGTTCAGTGCATTCTCACCCTTACAGGAACACCTACGAATTTATAATGGACTACCTGGGGTAACAGTTGAAGGTTCGTTCAAGTTGGGTCTACAGACATGAATAAGAGAGCTCATGTACTCTCGAGAAGGACACAAAGTAATGTGGGAGGCAAGGTACAATGAACAATATAGGGCTGAAAGAGGTCAAACCCCAAATGCTATCTAGAAGTATGAGTAACATGCTGGGCAAAAAGAGGGAGTCAGTCAATTCAAACATGTTCACTGGGCGTGTCACATGATGAGATGCTATTTGACCCAGGTACAGTGGTACATATCCTCCACCTTCTAAAAGTTCCTACCCGGTGTTCTTGGGAAGTGAGATAAGGTTGCTGAAGAACAGTGGGAAAGGTAGAACTGTCATGGGGCTGAATTCCTGGCAGTTACATTTGCACTCCCAAGGACGGGAGAGAGCCAGCTGCTGCCCTGGAAATATATGCTCCTGTTATATTCCTCAACGTTAGTGCATGATCTAAGTTGACTACCATAGTGTGAGGCTGTCCTGGAAAGCTTCCACTCCCACCCCACTACTACTTAACAGTTGTAAATATTTTTTTTTAAAGATTTATTTATTCATACACAACTTGGGTACAGGCCAGAGATGCGGAGGGTGAGAGAATTCACCAGAGACGGAGCGGGGAGCAGAACTGGCAGATCGACGAAGTACACTGCTGAGGAGAGCAGCAGGCGGGTCAGGAGAGGTCTGCTGCGCCATGTGGATCTCCTCGGGGCAGGCGGGGATTGAACTCATGCGGAAGTGGCTTAAGCTTCTTAGTGCTGTGCTTTAACCCGCCGTGCCACCAGGGAGGGCCCGTAAATATTTATTTTTAATTACACAGGAAATAGTAAATGCATTCCCACTGTCAATATTCAAAGAGCTAGGCTGAATATCCCTCCTGACCACCATTCAGTAGCTTCTTCCCTCTTTAGAAGGAATCTCAGTAGGTTATTTTCTGATTCATCTCTGCATATGTGTACAGATAGCTGTTGAGATAAGAAATGATGAGGGTGAAAGTAAACCATGAAATGCATAAGGAAAATAGGACAAAGCTGGGGGGAAAATATGCGAGGAAGAACAGGCTGGCTCCAAAACAGACTTGAAAGTACAAGGACAGTGAAAACAAAATAATGATATTATCTGGGAATTTACTGAGTTCTAGGCACTGCTCTAAGTTCTTTACAAGCGTAACTCAATACTCACAACAACCCTATGAGGTAGGTACTAGCGCTACCCATATTTTATGGATGATGAAGCTGAACATGAAGACTTGTACACCCTTAACTAGTGTGTGTCTACACTGTGGCTCCTGGTAATACAGGTCCTGAGTGCAGGATCTTTACCTCTGTGATATGTATCACTGCTTTGATTTAATGGAAATCATGTCTCTAAGCTTTGGGATCATTTGGGGCAAGACAAATAATGTTCTTTGAGTAATTTGAATTACAGGAGCAAAATAAGGCTTACACTCACTTGGAATAAAAACTCTCCCAGGTGCCAAATTTGATAACTGAGAACACCAACCTGTATCTCCAGGGTGGGCTTTGGGGTTGTGCCAACTATGCAGAATTCTGTTCCCAGAAAGAGCTCTGTTCTCACTGACTTGACATTTTTTTAATAATTTAATTTTGAATTTGTGTCTTGTAAGTATAGTCCAATATGACAAAGAAGGATATACTTGAGCAGAAGAGATAGTGGATGTCAGTGCACACAGCCCATGGACTGAACAGGTGCTGTGCATACTAAACAATTGGTCAGGCTACATGGTATACACAGTGAACCTAAAGCAGTCCAGGGCATCAACGGCTCCGGAGGGGGACCTCAGACCGGTGACATGGT